TATTGGTCAGGCTGATCTCGAACTCCTGACCATAGGTAATCCACCCACCTCGGCCTCCCAAAGTGTTGGGATTACAGGCGTGAGCCACTGCGCCCAGCCTGCAGCTTACTTTATATGAAGATACTGAAACCGCCATTGAAAAACTGTAACTGAGATGGTGAAAGAGATCTGACCCAACCAGCTCTATCTTGCTTCTTAACACACCTCCAAGCTGCCCTTGTACATTCCTGGGCATAAACTGAACTAACTTTGGGAGGAATTTAGTTTATTATGGTTTATAGTTTAAAACAAAGGCTGGGCACGGTGGCTCACACTTGTAATCCCAACAATTTGGGAGGCGGAGGCGGGTGGACCACCTGAGTTCAGGAGTTCCAGACCAGCCTGACCAACATGGAGAAACCCCGTCGCTACTAAAAATACAAAAAAATTAGCCAGGCATGGGGGTGCATGCCTGTAATCCCAACTACTCAGGAAGCTGAGGCAAGAGAATCACGTGAACCCGGGAGGCAGAGATTGCAATGAGCCGAGATTGCGCCGTTGCACTCTAGCCTTGGCAACAAGAGCAAAACTCCGTCTCAAAAATAAAATAAAATAAAATAAAACAAAGACGGTAATAGCCCTTTCCCAAAACAAACCTCCTTCTTGCCTGGGGACTAGGCTGCCTTTATAGGACTAACAAATTAGCTACACAATTAGAAATTATGGTTTAAGAGTCATGCGGCTGGAGGCTACAAGATTCTGACCCTCCTTAAACTGCTCCTAAGATCAGTGCTTGAGATATTTTGCAGACCCTGCACTTGATGAATCAGCTGGCACCACCCAGATTGATAAACTGGCTCATGTGATCTATGGCCCCCACCCAGATCTGACTCCTTACAAGAGGACAGCGTCAACTCCCTATGATCTCATCTCTGACCCAACCAATCAGCACTCTCGACTCACCGGCCTTCCCCTACCCACCAAATTATCCTTAAAAACTCTGATCCCTGAATGCTCGGGAGACTGACCTGAGTAATAATAAAATTCCAGTCTCCCACACAGCTCGCTCTGCGTGAATTAACTCTTCCTCTATTGCAAGTGCCCTGTCTTGATAAATCAGCTCTGTTGAGGCAGCAGGCAAGGTGAATCCATTGGGCAATTACAATATCACCATATTGATAATTACACTGTGAAAAGCAAATTATTATAATAACTCCACTAACCTGAATCCATAGAAATTACAGTATTTTATTTTTTATGAATATTTTTTAAAACAACAGATAATAGGTCGGGCATGGTGGCTCACACCTATAATGCCAGCACTTTGGGAGGCTGAGGCAGGAGGATCACTTGAGCCCAGGAGTTCTAGACCAGACTGAGCAACATGGCAAAACCCCATCTCTACAAAAAAAAACTTTTCTAATTAAAAATTTAGCCAGGCGTGGGGGTGCACACCTGTAGTCCCAGCTACTTGGAAGGCAGAAGCAGAATAACTGCTTGAGTCCACAAGTTAGAAGCTGCAGTGAGCTATGATCATGACACTGCACTCCAGCCTGGGTGACAGAATAAGACCTCATCTCAAAGAAAAAAAACAAAATATTTTGAAGCTTTCTACAGTAAAAAAATATTTTCAGATATCTATTTTAAGATAAACTTACTGAATAATAAGGAGTAAAGCTTTTGCTTAGTTCCTTTTTAAAATCTCTAAGTGCACCAGTTCCTTTTCCTAGCTTAGGAAAAGACCTAAGGCATAGTGATCTATGACAATAATAGAATATTTGCTTCATGGTATAGGCTCTTTTGGTATCTTAAAGCAATGATCATTATGTAGTGCCATGGATAAGCTATAGAAGAAATCACAGATAAAGCTAAGTATGTACTAACCCCCGGCTATTCTTTGAAAGTTTCTTTGGAAAATATAAGCACACTATTTAGTACTTATCCCTATCTCTGAAAAGTAGAATGCAGGAAAAATTGCAACTATTAAACTCTTTAGTCAAGTTCTGATTACTCATTCACTAGTTCAAAAACTGCTGTTGACCAGCCTGGCCAACATGGAGAAACCCTGTCTCTACTAAAAATGCAAAAATTAGCTGGGCATAGTGGTGGGTGCCTAGAATCCCAGCTACTCAGGAGGCTGAGGCAGAAGAATCGCTTGAACCTAGGGGGTGGAGGTTGCAGTGAGCCAAGACTGCACCACTGCACTCCAGCTGGGCAACAGAGTGACACTCCATCTCAAAAAAAAACAAAAAAAATTAGCCAGGTGTGGTGGCTCACGTCTGTAATCCCAGCACTTTGGGAGGCCAAGGCGGATGGATCATGAGGTCAGGAGTTCAAGACCAGCCTGGCCAACATAGTGAAACCCCGTCTCTACTAAAAATACAAAAAATTAGCCAGGCGTGGTGGCGGGCACCTGTAATCCAGCTACTCAAGAGGCTGAGGCTGGAGAATCGCTTGAACGCGGGAGGCAGAGGTTGCAGTGAGTGGAGATCACCCCACTGCACTCCAGCCTGAGTAAAAGGGTGAGACTCTGTCTCAAAAAAAAAAAATTGCTGTTGGCTGTAGAACCCTTATCATGTGCTCTGCATTACATGTGGAACTGGGAATAGAATAACAACCTTCAATGGCGTGAGGGAAACTGGCAAGTAAAGAGGAAGTAAAAAACGAGATAGAGGTCAAGTGCGGTGGCTCATGCCAGTAATCCCAGCACTTTGGGAGGCCGAGCCAGGTGAATCACTTGAGGTCAAGAGTTAGAGACCAGCTGGCCAATATGGTGAAATCCCCTCTCTACCCAAAATACAAAAATTAGCCGGGCAAGGTGGTGCACACCTGTAACCCCAGCTACTCTGGAGGCTGAGGCATAAGAATTGCTTGAACCTGGGAGGCAGAGGTTGCACTGAGCTGAGATTGCCCCAGTGCACTCCAGCCTGGGTGACAGAGCAAGACTCTGCCTCAAAAAAATAAAATAAAGGCCAGGCACGGTGGCTCATGCCTATAATCCCAGCACTTTGGGAGGCCAAGGCAGGTGGATCATGAGGTCAGGAGTTCGAGACCAGCCTGACCAACATGGTGAAACCGCATTTCTACTAAAAATACAAAAATTAGCCAGGCGTGGTGGTGCACACCTGTAATCACAGCTACTCAGGAGGCTGTGGCAGGAGAATCGCTTGAACTGGGGAGGCAGAGATTGCAGTGAGCCAAGATGGTGCCACTGCACTCCAGTCTGGGGGACAAAGTGAGACTCAGTATCAAAACAAAAAAAAAAAAGAAATGCAAGTAATTCCAACCTACATATGCTATATGCCTTTCTGCTTAAACGATCTATGTTTTTAAGTATAAATTGTCTATGAAAATAAACACTTCTGGCCAGGCATGGTAGCTCACGCCTATAATCTCAATACTTTCGGAAGCTGAGGTAGGCCAATCACATAAGGCCAGGAGTTCAAGAACAGCCAGGCCAACATGGCAAAACCCCATCTCTATGAAAAACACAAAAAAAATTACTCCTTTACCTGATGCAGGTCTCTACTCAAATGTCACCATATGGGTAGAGCATTCTCTCACCTACCAGTATGAAATAACTTATCCTCACCCCACCCCCTTGCCAACTACCAGACTCAATTATCAAAAACAAAAATAAAAGTGCTTATTTATTTACTATCTATCACCCTAACCTAGAATACAAATGCTCTAGAGAGCGCAGATGGATTTTTATCACTCCTATATTCCAGAATCGGAGTCTACTGCCTGGAAGATCATAGGTTTGCAGTAAATATTTGGTGGATGACTGAGTAAAAACTTATAATACTAGGAATTTTTCTGATGCAAACTATTAATATAACATTTTATGTTATGAGTCACTTTATTGCATCCCTAATTAAGAGTTAAGTACTTATATAGAAAACTAAGTAACACTGTGACTTTTTCCCTTTAGCCTAAACATACAAATACATGCATATATAAGCAGTTCACTGGCAAGGGCTGAATAATCGGAAGACTTTATGCCACCCTTTTCCTTCTCTTGGCTTAGTGCTTCTGAATATATTGAAGGGATACCTTGGGCTCCTATGTTATTACCTTAAAGTCAATTAACATTTCAACTCTGGGCCGGGAGTGATGGCTCATGCCTATAATGCTAGCACTTTGGAAGGCCAAGGTTAGTGGATCACTTGAGGTTAGGATTTAGAGACCAGCCTCACCAATATGGTGAAACCATCTCTACTAAAAATACAAAAATCAGCCAGGCGTGGTGGTATGCACCTGTAATCCCAGCTACTCAGGAGGCTGAGGCAGGAGAAACCTTTGAACTTAGGAGGCAGAGGTTGCAGTGAGCCGAGATCACGTCACTGAACTCCAGCCTGGGCGACGGAGTGAGACTCTGTCTCAAAAAAGAAAAAAAAAAATTGTAAGAGTTAATAACAGTACTTTGTAAACATTTGTAAAACATCAACATAAAAATTAGCAAAACTATAGGCAGATAATTCAAAGAAAAAATATGAATAGCCAATAAATTTATGAAAATTTTCATTTAGATTAATGTTCCTTAATAATGTTCAGCATCCAAGGCCGGATGCGGTGGCTCACACCTGTAATCCCAGCACTTTGGGAGGCTGAGGAGAGTGGATCACGAGGTCAGGCGATCGAGATCATCCTGGCCAACATGGTGAAACCCCATCTCTACTAAAAATACAAAAATTAGCTAGGCATGGTGGCACGTGCCTGGTAATTCCAGCTACTCAGGAGGCTAAGGCAGGAGAATCGCTTGAACCAGGGAGTCGGAGGTTGCAGTGAGCCGAGATCGCGCCACTACACTCCAGCCTGGCAACAGAGCGAGACTTTGTCTCAAAAAAAAGAAAAAACAAAAAAGAAAAAATTAATGTTCAGCAACCTAAATGGCCTGGGAAAAAAGAAAGCAGAATAACTTCCAAAAAAAAAAAAGCCAGCAAGAAGTTTCTTACAGCAATAAGAAAACACAGAAACTGGAAAACCTTTTAACTGACAAGGATGTGGGGTTGAAATACCTGTGATGGAACAATAGATGATGTGAGGAGCAATCTTGTCTATATCTTCATATCCCAGGCCCATTGCAGACAGTTTGCCAGGGACATAGTTTTCCACAAACACATCACAAACAGCTGCGAGCTGATGGAAGAGGTGAACATGAGTCAGACTTCCCCTCAACAAATCCTCACATGATAGAATTTTAAATTCTACACAATTGATTCTCCCTTTCTAATAGCTCAGAAAAATCACAGGACCGATGAAGCAAATTAGATAAACATAGAAGTTCTGGTCAACTACTTAAAGCATTACTGTCAGTAAAATAATGGCTTTTAAAGTTTTTGTAAGTACATGGTATTGAATGGATTCTGCATCCTTTAAATGTAATAAATATCTAGACTACATGGTCTGTCCAAATAGATTCTCAAAAGATTAGGTAGAAAAATTAGAATGTAAGTACATTAAATCTATGAAAAACACCTTTTAAAACATTTACAAGAAAACTAAATAGGTCATGTCTGGTTGCTCACTTCTCTAATCTCAGCACTTTGGGAGGCCAAGGCAGGTGGATTGCTTGAGCCCAGGAGTTCAAGATCAGGAGTTCAAGACCAGCCTGGGCAACATGGCAAAATCCCATCTCTACAAAAATTAGCCAGACAAGGTGGTGCACACCTATGGTCTCAGCTACTCAGGAGGCTCAGGTGGGAGGATCTCTTGAGCCAGCAAGTTGAGGTTGCAGTGAGCTGCAATGGTGCCACTGCACTCCAGCCTGGGGGACTATTAGACCTTGTCTCCAAAAACAGACCTAAATACAAAGTCTTTACTACTCAGCATCCCTATTGTTACGTAATATTCCTCATTATAACATGCACTTAACGCATGTAAACAGGATTCTGAAATGTTTTCACACCTTTCAGATGCATTCTTCCCAAAGAGTTTTAAATGTATTTAATGAACCACCGAAGTTTTTTTTCTTCAGGCCACTAAACTATAGCCCAGTAAACCAGGAACTGTCAGGAACAAATTCCAGATTGTGATGCCCAGACCACTGTTACAGGAATTAGAGGACAATGCAGCACTGTAAACCTTAATTTTAATTTTTTTCCCAAAATTTCAATTGTGACTACTTTTAAAAATGTTTGTAAAGGGCCAGGTGCAGTGGCTCACACCTGTAGTCCCAGCACTTTGGGAGGCCAAGTAAGGCAGACCATTTGAGGTCAGAAGTTCAAGACCAGCCTGGTCAACATGGTGAAACCCTGCCTACTAAAATTACAAAAAAATGAGCCAGGTGTGGTGGCACATGCCTGCAATCCCAGCTACTCGGGAGGCTGAGGCACAAGAAATCACTTGAACCCAGGAGACAGAGGTCACAGTGAGCTGAGATCGCACCACTGCACTCCAGCCTGGGTGACAGAGTGAGACCCTGTTTCAAAAAAAAAAAAAAAATATATATATATATATATATATATAAAAAATATTTTATATATATTTTTTTTTATTGGCTCGGCACAGTGACTCACACCTGTAAATCCCAGCACTTTGGGGGGCCAAGGTAGGCAGATCACTTGAGGTTAGGCGTTCGAGACCAGCCTGGCCAATATGGCGAAACCCTGTCTCTACTAAAACTACAAAAATTAACTGGGCATGGTGGTACACGCCTGTAGTCTCAGCTACTCGGGAGGCTGAGGCAGGAGAATCACTTGAACCCAGGAGGTGGAGGTTGCAGTGAGCCAAGATAGTGCCACTGCACTCCAGGCTGGGGCAACAAAGCAAGATTCCATCTCAAAAAAAAAAAAAAAAATCACAGTAATTGGCTGGGCCCAATAGCTCACGCCTGTAATCCCAACACTTTTTGAGGCTGAGGGGGTGGATCACTTGAGGTCAGGAGTTTGAGACAAGCCTGGGCAACATAGCAAGGCCTCATCTCTACAGAAAATTTAAACATTAGCCAGGCATGGTGTCACATGCCTGTAGTCCCAACTACACAAAAGGATGAAGCAGGAGGACTGCTTGAGCCCAGAAGGTGGAGGCTGCAGTGAGCAAGTTCTTGCTACTGAACTCCAGCCTGGGCAACAGAGTGGGGCTGTCTCAAAAAAAAAAACAAAACATGCACTCCTACAAGCACTAAAGAAAATAGACTGCAGGCTAGCCAGGTGCAGTAGCTCACACCTGCAATCCCAGCACTTTGGGAGGCCGAGGCAGGTAGATTACATGAGGTCAGGAGTTCAGGACCAGCCTGGCCAACATGGTGAAACCCTGTCTCTACTAAAAAATACAAAAATTAGCCAGGCGTGGTGGTGGGCACCTGTAGTCCCAGCTACTTGGAAAGCTGAGACAGGAGAATTGCTTGAACACGGAAGGCAGAGGGTGGAATGAGCCGAGATCACACCATTGCACTCCAGCCTGGGAGACAAGAGCGAAACTCCACCTCAAAAAACAAAAAAGGAAGAAAAAGAAAATAAACTGCATGCTATATAGCAAAATTCTAATATTGTTTCATCTAGGCATAGGATAAATGAGAGTTCACTATTCTTTCAACTTTTCTGAATGTTTTAATTTTTCATAACAAAATGTCATAGGAAAATAAAACTCATGCATTGCTATGCTGACCATAACACACACCCGTAATAATGATATTGTGACTGTCAACTAATTAACATAGAAAATTGTCTGAAATATTGGATAACACATGATCAAAAGTTATCAAATCATATCGCCACAATAATACTAAGTTCCATATAGGTTTTCTAAGCAGAGTTTCAGTTTTTACACAACCTGTTTTTGGTTAGCCTAGTTGACAAAGGAGTCATACTTTTTGAAGCTCTCATGTATCCAGCTGATTGACTTGTATAATACTTTGGAACTGTTTCTATAAACTAGACCCATTATATTAGCAATCCCTTTTTTTTTTTTTTTTTTTTTTGAGATGGAGTCTCACTCTGTCACCCAGGCTGGAGTGCAGTGGTGCGATCTTGGCTCACTGCAACCTCCACCTCCCGGGTTCAAGTGATTCTCCTGACTCAGCCTCCCAAGTAGCTGGGACTACAGGCACACATCACCACGCCTGGCTAATTTTTGCATTTATAGTACAGACAGGGTTTCACCATGTTGGCCAGGCTGGTCTCGAACTCCTGACCTCACGATCTGCCCCGCCTTGGCCTCCCAAAGTGCTGGGATTACAGGTGTGAGCCACCATGCCTGGCCTTTTTTGCTACTCTTAAGGCCAGAAGAGAAATCTATACCAGAAATAAGAAAGACTAGAGAAAAAATAATTTTTCCTTTAGAAAGTAAGATACATAACTTATGAATTGTGTAACTACTTAAAAGCAATTGACTGGCCATGGTGGTTCACACCTGTAATCCCAGCATTTTGGGTGGCTGAGGTATGCGGATTGCTTGAGGCCAGGAGAACAATTTCGAAAAATCAAAACAAGTTTCAAAAGAAAAACAAAAACAAACAAACCTAAGTTATGCTACAGGAAAGATATGGGAAGGCAGGGTGGTAAGATCAGGATGATTTTCAAGCTTTGGGTTCAAAATACATCTAGTTAATGAAAATTCTAAATTGGCTGCATTGATCCAGCAGAACCAAAAAGGATGGTCCCTGATTCTGATCTTAATAATTAAAGATTATCTTTCAATGATCGAGATAGAGAACATAAAGCAGCAGAAGAGCAATTGAAGCTAAGTTCATGTTTGGGTAAAAAATAAAGTTTGAGGCCAGGCGCAGTGGTTCATGCCTGTAATCCCAGCACTTTGAGAGGCCGAGGCAGGTGGATCACCTGAGGTCAGGAGTTTGAGACTAGCCTGACCAATATGGTGAAACCCCATCTCTACTAAAAATATAAAAATTAGCAGGGCATGGAGGCACGTGCCTGTGGACCCAGCTACTCCACAGGCTGAGACAAGAGAATTGCTTGAAACCAGGAGGCGGAGGTTGCAGTGAGCCGAGATCGCGCCACTGCACTCCAGCCTGGGTGACACAGCAAGACTCTGTCTCTAAATAAATAAATAAGTTTAAGACTTGGTTCTCTAACCAAATAGCCCTAAGTACAGTTGGCCCTTGAACAACAGGGGTTTGAACTGTGCAAGTCCACCCCTAGGTGGATTCTTTTCAACCAAACGTGGATGGAAAATACAGTATGCACTGGATGCAAAACCCATGTACACTGAGAGCCAATTTTTTATATAAGCAGGTTCCACAAGTCCTGTACTGCAGGACTTAAGTATTCACAGATTTTGGTATATGTTGAGGTTCTAGTAGAATCAGTCCCCCAAATACAGAAGAATACTGTACATCCATTAGATTCACCTATAAACCTTAGCAAAGATGGCAAACAAGGTTTATCCCACATGATGAATCCAACATCAGGAACATAGGAAATAATAACAGCTAATAACTCATGAGTGCTGACTATGTGGCAAGCACTCATCTACACATTTTACACAGACTAACTCAATTCTAACAACAACCCTAGAGAGTAGGTACTATTGGGCTGGGCACAGTGGTTCACACATGTAAATCCCAGCTCTTTGGGAGGCCAAGGTAGGCAGATCACTTGAGGTCAGGAGTTCAAGACCAGCCTGGCCAATATGGTGAAACCCTATCATTACTAAAATTACAAAATTTAGCCAGGTGTGCTGGTGCACACCTGTAATCCCAGCTACTCTGGAGGCTGTGGCAAGAGAATTGCTTGAACGCAAGAGGTGGAAGTTGCAGTGAGCCGAGATCATGCCACTGCCCTCCAGCCTAGGCAAAAAAGCAACACTCTGTTTCAAAAAAAAGAAAGAAAGTAGGTACTATTATTACCCAGTTTACTAATGAAGAAACTGAGGCACAAAGAAGTTATATGACCTGTCTGAAGTCATATAGCCAGTAAGCACAGAAGGCAGGATTCAAATCCCATGCAAAGGTATCCATCCTTAATTTAACCACTGTGCCTTCCAGCTCCTCTAAGAAAGATGCTGAGATCAGGTCTGGATATACTGATCATCTGAGTAAGGGTTAGAGAAAGCTTGGACTCTCCAGTGATGTGACTCAGATCCAAATGTCAGCTTTCCCCATACTAGCTAGGTAATCTTGGAGCATCACTTAGGCACCAGGAAATTCAATTCCCTTTTATGTAAATGAGATTTCAATACTTCATTTACAAGGTAAAATCTGAGGATTAGAGAAGATAACGTGAGCAAAGTGCCCAAGCCCAGGATTTGCTACAGAGTTGGTGGTCAGTCAATAGTAGCTAGCACCATAATGATACACAATATACAAAACATTTAAAGCACATTACACTTACAAAGAAGTATACAAATTAAGGTAAATACTTAAAAGGTATTTGTTGCAAATGTACAGATCACCCATAAAATTGAGTTTTAAAACACTTTTGCTCTGATATTTCAATCCCTAATTATAACCTAGGTGGTAGGATGCCTTCTATACAGCATACTGTACCTCTTTGATGATTTTCACCCCTTTTGGATCCTTGATATTAACAGCAATACTCTAAAAATTAAAAAAATTTATATATATTATTTCGATGACCAAAATACAAGCCCCAATCCCTACCATTATGCAATATACCCACATAACAAACATTCAATGATGTATCCCCTGAATCCAAAATAAAAAGTAAAAAAAAAAAAAAAAAGCATGTATATTAAAATACTATCATAAAAGTTTTTCTTTTTTTCTTTTTTCACTTTTTGAGACCAGTCTTGCTCTGTCACCCAGTCTGGAGTGCAGTGGTGCGATCTCGGCTCACTGCAACCTCTGTGTCCCGGGTTCAAGCGATTCACATGCCTCAGCCTCCCAAGTAGCTGGGACTACAGGCACACGCCACCATGCCCAGCTAATTTTTGTATTTTTAGTAGAGATGGGGTTTTGCCTTATTGGCCAGGATGGTCTCAATCTCCTGACCTCATGATCCGCCCACCTCGGCCTCCCAAAGTGCTGGGATTACAGGCGTGAGCCACTGTGCCCAGTTATGAAAGTTCTTCTTATTGCTGAACAAGAAAGCCATTCATATCATAGATCATCCTCTTAAATTTATTTTATGCATGAAGAAATATTTAAATCATCTTTACTGATTCTATTTACCATGAGGATATATTAATATGCTAACAAGGATGATAGGAGATGTTTTTAAAGTATAATACCAAGTGTTAGGCAATTACTCCCTAATAATAACAAATGTAAGGAATCAAATGATTTTTCTATTTCATAAAATTATTTCCATTATAAATTCTTATGAAATGTTCTAAGTTACTTAGTAGGTAAGAAAGAGTAGTAAAAAGCTCCATTGTTTCTACTTAGTGAATGGTAAATGAACAGAAGTTTAATTTATTTGAAATATTAATTACATCTTAATTTCTTTAAGGAACAAAAAAAAAAAGCCACAATGATATCAACATTTTTGCTATTACAAGAGAATTACACACAAAAAGCCAAAAAGGGATGATATTCTTACTTTTTTATTTCGGTTAACACTGAGATAATATGTACTTTCTGTCCCAACAAAAGGTGGCCCCCAAGTCCGTGTATCATCTCCAACTCCTGAAAATAATAACATGAGCTATTAATCTTTGGGTTTCGTTTTTTTTGTTTTTTTTTTTTTGGAGATGGAGTCATGGAGTCTCACTCTGTTGCCCAGACTGGAGTACAGAGGAACAATCTCTGCTCACTGCAACTTCCACCTCCTGGGTTCAGGTAATTCTCCTGCCTCAGCTACCCAAGTAGCTGGGATTACAGATGTGCACCACCATACCTGGCTAATTTTTGTGTTTTTAGTAGAGACAGGGTTTCACCATGTTGGCCAGGCTGGTCTCAAACTCCTGGCCTCAGGTGATCCACCCACTTCGGCTTCCCAAAGTGCTGGGATTACAGGCGTGAGCCACTATACCCAGTCATTTAAAGTAGTTTCTAAGTGACTGTGAAAAAAAAATAAAAATAGTACTATCAATTTCTAGAACTATAATTTAATTGTACTATCAATTGCTAAAACCAGCTAGGACTACAGGCACCCGCCAGCATGCCCTGCTAATTTTTGTATTTTTACTAGAGACGGGGTTTCACCACATTGGCAAGCCCATCTCGAACTCCTGACTTCAGATGATCCGCCCGCCTCAGCCTCCCAAAGTGCTGGGATTACAGGTGTGAGTCACCACACCCAGCCAAGAAGCATTAGTTCTAACTGGAGCTAAACCAATGACATCTCCTGCATCACCCTCCATAGTAACTGGGATTACACAGGTGTGCACCACCATGCCTGGCTAATTTTTTATTTTTAGTAGAGACAGAGTTTCACAATATTGGCCAGGCTAGTCTTGAACTCCTAACCTCAAGTGACCCAGCCGCCTAGGCCTCCCAAAGTGATCCCACTGCACCAGGCCAGTAGTTTATTTTAGACATTTGCACTCATTTCTCAGGTGGAGATAATGTCAGGAGTCTAAACTGGAGGCCTACAAGGCTTTCCTCATTTAACTGGGGTTTCAGAAAGCTCTGTGTCCATGGCACATGACAGGAAATGAATGGGTTAAAGGACATATCTGGAAAAACCTGCAGCTTGGGAGACAAGTTTTATTTGACCCACACAATTCTTAAAGTTTTTAACTAGCTGCCATGATTTCAAAATCTGGAAATCTTTAAAACTTCACACTGCCTTTCTTAGATGACCTTTTGACACATTCATTCATTCAACAAATATTTATTGAGCACCAACTATGTCACAGACATTGCTCTGTGCAGAGCAGACACAGCAGTGAACAAAAGACCAACAGCCCTGGCCTCGTGTGCCCTAGTGGAGACGATGCTGAAATTTCAGCTGCATCCTTGCTCACTTCCCTGCTCACTTTCCTCACTTAGGTTCCCTGCCTGGCCCTGCAGGCACACAGATACATCCACTGACTGGCTAACTCTACAAAAAGAGGAGTATACATAAATGTAATATGCTCTTTGGTTACACAAATAAAAATAATCTAATCTAATACTAAATCAGAAAACTACAACCAGGCCAGACGTGGTGGCTCATGCTGGTAATCCCAACACTTTGGGAGGCCAAGGCGGGTGGATCACTTGAGGCCAGGAGTTTGAGAACAGCCTAGGCAACATGGTGAAACCATGTCTCTACAAACAGTGAAAAAATTAGCCAGGTGTGGTAGCACATGCCTGTATTCCCAGCTACTTAGGACACTGAGATGGGGCAATCGCTTGAGCTCAGGAGGTCAATGCTGCACTGAGCCAGGAATGTGCCACTGCATTCCAGCCTGGGGGACAGAGCAAGATCCTGTGAAAAGAAAAGAAAAAGAAGAGAAGAGAAGAGGAGGAAAGGGGAGGAGAAGGGAAGGGAGGGAAAAAAAGAAAAGAGAAAAGAAAAGAAATAGAGAAGGAGGGCAGGGCAGGGCGAAAGAAAGAAAGAGAGAGAGAGAAAGAAAGGGAAGGGAAGGGAGGGGAGAGAGGGGAGGGAGGGAGGGAGGGAGGGGAGGGGAGGGGAGGGGAGGGAAGGGAAGGGAAGGGAAGGGAAGGGAAGGGAAGGGAAAGGAAGGGAAAGGAAGGGAAGGGAAGGGAAGGGAACAGAAAACTACAACCAAATTTTATTTAATTGAGGAACTGTAGAGTGGATATAAAATGAAACTAGTTTTCTACTGAAATGTGAAAATACCACAAAGCTGCTTTTAATGAAAATCACTTTTTCTCATATCTGTGTTGAATAACTATCTCAAAAACCCAAAACAATTAAATATATAATATGAATATTAAAATGTATTAATTGGGAGGGTGAAGAGAAGTAGTCATAGTAACCGGTCAAAAAAAGGACAATAGGCCAGATGCAGTGGCTCACCCCTGTAACCCCAGCACTTTGGGAGGCCGAGGTGTGTGGATCACCTGAGGTCAGGAGTTTGACACCAGCCTGGTCAACATGGTGAAACCCTGTCTCTACTAAAAATAAAAAAATTAGCTGGGCGTGATGGCACATGCCTGTAATCCCCGCTACTCGGGAGGCTGAGGCAGGAGAATTATTTGAACCTGGGAGGTAGAGGTTGCAGTGAGCTGAAATCATGCCATTGCACTCTAGCCTGGGCAACAAGAGTGAAAACTCTGTCACAAAAAAAAAAAAAAAAAAAAAGGACAATAAACACCTGCTAGGAACAAAGCCCGATACCAAGTGTATGGCGATGAGACATAATAAAGGCCTAGACAAAGAAAGATCTGTTGTGGTTTAGTTTCCATGGTGGAAACTAAAAAGTACAAAGGAGAAATAGGCCTCACTATATAGGGAACAACAATTTATAAAATTAATAGAAATACAAATGTTACCCTGGTGGCCAACTGAAATAGCAAGAGAAATTATTAACACATTGAATGTTCTATGTGTTATAGGAATGGAAAATGCAAGAAAACCAATGGTTGTAAGTGCTGTGGTGTTGAAATCAGATAACAATATGGAAATTAGAAGCTTTAAAGAAAAAAAACAAATGTTGAGCTAGAAAATAAACATTCTTCCGCATGTATCCAACACTGACTAAAAGCGATGAACATCATTGAATGAATAAACGAAGCATCATCTCTGGGAGCAGGACTTGCCGAGCACTTCTACCGCCTGAGACTGGCAGGGATAATAAAGAGTAATAAAATATACTAATACATGATATTCCTCATGCTTATCAGAGAATCTTCTGCTAACTGCCTTGGCCTCTTAAGAATATCTACTTAACAAGAAATTGAATCTTCCAGATCAAGTATTCTACTGTCTGTAAAGACAAAATAAAATTTAAAAAATTTTTAAAAAGAAGGAAACAAACAAAAAGATATTCTACTTTATATGGTTATCACTTACGGTCAATTACTAAGTTGACGTAATTATAAATCATTCTCCTGTGAGTCTTAGAGATACATACACATTATTCACCACTAGACCAGTCTCACTGATTTGGGGATTCTGTTTAAGACCCATAGGATCAGATCTTGAAACATAAATAATAATGCTAATTTTTGAAAACTTCTAAAACAAGCTGCATAGGCCAGGTGTGGTGGCTCACCCACACCTGTAATGTCCGCACTTTGGGAGGCTGAGGTCGAAGGATCGTTTGAGCCCAGAGTTCAAAACCAGTCTTGGCAATATAGGAAGACCCTGTTTTTACCAAAAACTATATATATATTATTTATATATTTTAAATAAGGCCGGGTGCGGTGGCTCATAGAGCGAGATTGCATCTCAAAAAAAAAAAAGTAGCCAGGCACGGTCGCGCACAACTATGGTTCCAGCTAAGGTAGGAGGATTGCTTGAGCCCAGGAGGTCAAGGCAACAGTAAGCCATGATTACACGATGGCAGTCAAGCCTGGATGACAGAGTGAGATCTGTCTCAAAAACAAAATAAAACAAGCTGTTTATATGATGATATAGCAGACATTAAAAAACATGGACTGTGCCCTTTAAGTGCTTATTGGAGAGAAAGGGCACAAAACAATGACACGTTCCTTTTTGAGATGGAGTGTGGCTTTTGTTGCCTAGGCTGGGGTGCAATGGCATGGTCTCAGCTCACTACAACCTCCATCTCCCAGGTTCAAGCAATTCTCGTGCCTCAGTCTCCCAAGTAGAGATTACAGGCATCCGCCATCATGCACCACTAATTTTTGTTCTTTTAGTAGAGAAGGGGGTTTCACCACGTTGGCCAGGTTGGTCTTGAATGCCTGACCTCAGGTGACCCGCCCACCTCAGTCTCCCAAAATGTGATTACAGGTGTGAACCACTACGCCTGGCCAATAATGATGCTTTTCTAAGAAACTTTATCAATAACAGCTTGAACTAAACACCAAACTGCTAAGATGATACCAAATAAAAGTGAGAAATGTGTACACAGAATGTATTTATTTGGTGAACAAAGGAGGAAGAAAGAACAGGAAAGATGTCAGATGAAAACATAAAAGCAAAAAACTGATCTAAGCTTAGGTGTTTCCTCCTTCAAAACCTTTAAAATTATAAAATGGGGAAATGTTTCTTTTATTGGGAATAGAAAAAAATGGCCAGGAGTAGTAGGTTACACCTGTAATCCCAACATTCTGAAAGGCTGAGACAGGAGTTCAAGACCAGAACAAGCAATATAACAAGACTCTGTCTCTACATACACACACAAAAAAAATTGTATTATTATAGCTGGGCATGGTGGCACATGCCTGTAGTCCCACCCATTCAGAAGGCTGAGGCAGGGGAATTGCTCAAGCCCAGCAGTTGGAGGCTATAGTGAGCTATGATCACACCACTGCACTCCAGCCTGGATGACAGAGGGAAATGCCGTCTCTAAAAAATAAAAAGAAAAAGGAAATAGAAAAGAATGACTTAGGTTGGAGTATTTGAGGTTTTCTGTTTGTTTGTTTGTTTGTCTGTTTGTTTTTGAGACAGGGTCTCACTCTGTCACCCAGGCTGGAATGCAGTGGCACGATCTTGGCTCACTGAAACCTCCACCTCCCAAGTTCAAGAGATTCTTTCGCCTCAGCCTCCCACGTAGCTGGAACCACAGGTGTCTGCCACCATGCATGGCTCATTTTTGTATTTTTAGTGGAGACGGGATTTCACCATGTTGGCCAGGCTGGTCTCGAACTGCCAACCTCAGGTGATCCACCTGCCTCAGCCTCCCAAAGTACTGGGATTGCAGGCATGAGTCACCATGCCCAGCCTTGGGTTGTTTTTTGAGGGACTTTGATTCCTTTTCCTTCTCTCCTTCTTCTTTACCCTATTTCTTCACTTTTATCTTCCTTTCTCCTGGCCTTCCCTTTATTCCACAGTGAGGGAGGGTGGCCAGGCCCACTGTAATCTCAGTCTCAACGCTAAAGCTAGTCTGGGGCTAAGGAAGGCCAGAATCATGGCTGAAGGTCTGGATATTCCTTATTACCTGTGTGCCCCTAAGTAAGTTGCTTAACATCTCTGTGTCTCCATTTTCTCCTTTATAAACTATGAATAATAACATCAGCCCATAGGGTTGTTGTAAAGATTAAATAAGCACAGGCAAAGCATTGAGAACTTTGCCCGGCACTGTAGGTGTCCTTATCATCATTGTTATACACTGCATCTCAGCTTCTTTGTTTTTTTTGAAGCAGAGTCTTGCTCTGTTGCCCAGGCTGGAGTGCAGTGGCATGACCTAGGCTCACAGCAACCTCCATCTCCCGGGTTCAAGTGATTCTCCTGCCTCAGCCTCCCAAGTAGCTGGGATTACAGGTCCATGCCTGGCTACTTTTTTTTTTGTATTTTTAGTAGAAACGAAGTTTCACCATGTTGGCCAGGCTGGTCTTGAAGTCCTGACCTCAAGTGATCTGCCCTCCTCGGCTTCCCAAAGTGCTGGGATTACAGGCGTCAACCACTGTGGCCAGCCTCAGCTTCTAACAAAAGCCTTCAGGTGCAAAGAAGAAACTGGCTTGAGCCTGAGCACTGAGCACACATAAGGAGTAAAAAGATACCATTAGTGTTAGTTCACAGGAAAACAAGAAATGGAGAAGAAAAAGACAATCATTTCAATTCTCTCCTTATCCCACTTACAGGTACACTAAACATGGGTATTTAGAGAATTATTTAAATATATTTATTAGCTTGTTTCTATATTTTAAAGAGATTAATAGCTTTACCTGGTCTCTCCACTTTTATAACTTCTGCTCCAAGGTCTCCTAAATTCATAGTAGCAAAAGGTCCCGCCAGGATTCTACAATGTTAAAAATGATAAATAAATTAATTACCATCTGGAAAATTTTTATATTAATTATTTTCTTAAAGACCCATCAACACAGACAAGCTCATATAATGCTAGTAAGAATCAAAACAGTTAAAACTGTAATTTGGCCATATGTAATAAGAGCTTTAAAAATATATACCCCCTTTCTTTTTCTTTTTCTATTTTTTTGAGACAGAGTCTCGCTCTGTCACCCAGACTGGAGTACAGTGGCACCATCTCAGCTCACTGCAAGCTCCACCTCTCGGGTTCACGCCATTCTCCTGCCTCAGCCTCCTGAGTAGCTGGGACTACAGGTGCCTGCCACCATGCCCGGCTAATTTTTTTGTATTTTTAGTAGAGACGGGGTTTCACTGTGTTAGCCAGGATGGTCTCGATCTCTTGATCTGGTGATCCGCCCGCCACGGCCTCCCAAAGTGCTGGGATTACAGGCGTCAGCCACTGCGCCCGGCCCCTATAATTCTTTATCTAGAATTTTATCCTGAGGAAGAAATCAAAACTGAGGGAAATATTTGTGTACAAGGAAGCCTAATTTATAATTGTGAAAGATTAGAGGATGATTAAGTAATTATGTGACACTGATATATTAATTACTCTCTTACTTTTTGTTGAATTTTGAATAACATAGGAAAATATCTAAAATATAACATTGTGTTTAAAATGTGGGTAAAACTGTAATTTCAATATGGTTCCAATTTTAGTTTTTTAAGATTATATATAAATACACATTGGGAAAAGGCATAAATACTACACTAATTGTCTCATAGAATGATGATATTACAGGAATTTTTCTTTTCTTATTTTCTTCTCTAAAATCTCAACATAAGCATATACGAATCTTCTTTTAATTCAAAAAATTAAATGTTTTTGAGGAAAGGGAAAAACCAAATCCCAAAAAAAAAACCCAAATGTAGATAAACCAATACAAACCTTGTTAGATCCAGAATTTTTACCCCTTCCAATGGCTTTATATTGTTCATATCTGGCAAAACAGAGAAAACATTTCAAGATAATTGATTATTAATTTTCTTACATTTTCACATACACCATTATAAACTTGAGATAGATCACAAGGACTACAGTGATTCTTAGCAAGGGAGTCCACAGACCACAAGGCTCTAGTAAAGAATATGGGAAGCTGAGCCAGGCACGGGGACTCATGCTTGTATCCCAGCACTTTTGGAGGCCGAGGCAGGCAGATCACCTGAGATCAGGAATTCGAGACCAGCCTGGCCAACATGGTGAAATCCCATCTGTACTAAAAATACAAAAAATAGCCAGGCACCGTGGCGTGTGCATGTAATTCTAGCTACTCGCTGAGGCAGGAGGATCCTTTGAACCCAGGAGGCAGAGGCTGTAGTGGGCCAAGATGGAGCCACTGCACTCCAGCCTGAGCAACAGAGCAAGACACCACTTCAAAAAAAAAAGAAAAAGAAAAAGAAAAAAAATTACTATCACAATCACAGCAATAGCAAATATTTGAAGTGCATGGATTGGTGCATTATTTTCTTGACAGCATACTTATATGGAAAACCAAATTATAATCAGAAGGTAAACTGATAGGCAAAGCATCAGAAAAAGGAAAGTAGCTAAAACCATGTTTAATGTGGTAAATTGTTACAGCTATTTCCCCAAAAATCACACCTCCAACCTTATACATTCTCCTCCCACGTTGGCACTGGGCTTGGACATCTGCCTTGTTTTCACCAATAGGATATTAGGAAAGTTGATGCCAGCAGAGGCAGGATAAGTGCTTATACATTGGGGCTTGATTTTTCGGACCACTTCAATCTTCATGCGAAGAAGCACAAGATGAAAGAACACATGGAGAGAAGTTCAGCTGAGACTGTCATTGCAGCAGTCCCTGCTGAGGCCCAGACATCTGGATGAAGCCATCTTGGAACACCCAGGCCGAGCCAAGCCACTAGCTATTTGCAGACACATGAATAAACCCAGGTGAATCCAGCAAAAGAACTGCCCAACTGGCTGGGCACGGTGGCTCACGCTTGTAATCCCAGCACTTTGGGAGGCTGAGGCAGGCAGATCACCTGAGGTCAGGAGTTCCAGACCAGCCTGGCCAACCCCGTCTCTACTAAAAATGCAAAATTAGCCGGGTATGGTGGCGCACGCCTATAATCCCAGCTACTCTGGAGTCTGAGGCTGGAGAATCGCTTGAACCCAGGAGGTAGAGGTTGCAGTAATCTGAGATGGCACCACTCAAGCCTGGGCAACAAAAGCAAATTCTGTCTTTAAAAAAGAAAGAAATAAAGAATTGCCCAATCAACCCACAGAACTCTGAGAGAAAAATAAAGCCTTGTTTTAAGGCACTAAGTTTTGGAGTGGTTTGTTATATGGCAATAGATTAATACAATGGCTTACAGCAGAGATAACCTGTTATAGTAGTGAGAATGATCCTTGTATACGTAAAACATCCTTCCCTGCTCAAAATCCTCTATGGTTTCCTACTAAACTTAGAATGAAATCCAACTTCTTTCCACAGCTCACAAAATCCTGCTTGTTCTGGCCCTTGACACTTAAAAATATGATAGAAGGAAAAATATTATAGAAAGGCAGAAAGATCGAGATAAGAAAATCACCTACAGAGCAGAACAAAAAAATAAAAGTGGAAAATGGAGAAAAGGTAACAAAAATAAAATATCAGTCCAGGAAACCCAATAATATGAGCTTCTTAAAGAGTGAACAGCAAAAACAGAAAAGAGAGTATTACCAAAGAAATAATTCAGAAAAAATTGCCTAGAACTGAAAGGCATAAATTTCCAGATTGGAAGGTCCCTCTACTGGCCCAGCATAATGGATTTTAAAAAGACACACAGCAAGCACACCAAGACATCACTGTGAAAATCTGGAGTACTGACTTCTCTGACAAAAGATCTTAAACATTTCTAGGGAGAAAAAAGCAGGTCAGATATAAAGGATTGGTTATCAGGAGGACATTGAATTTCTCAACAATGCTGCAAGACAAAACAAAAAACTGGAGCAAAAAAAAAAAAAACCCTTAAAATTCTGAGGGGAGAAATTCTTTCTCCCTAAAATTCTAAACCCAATTAAAACACAAGTCAAGTGTGAGGATAGAAAAAAAATATTTTTAGTCACGCAGGTTTTCAAAAACTACTTGTCATGCATCCTTTCTTGGAAAAATTACTTTCAAAAGTAATCTAGAAATTTAGAAAATTACTTTATAAGAAAATCATTCCTCCCCACCTGAATATAAGGAAGACTCTAGATCCAACTTACAAGTGACAGGAGCTATAGGAGACAGAGGACCATGTCAAGGACACAATACAGAAGCAGGCAGAAAAATCCAGAATGCCCAAAACACTGCAGGAAATGGAAATATTTATTTCTTTAACAAATAAAAAGGCAAGAAAAATGCAAGATGTAGAAGGATACCCCAATTAAATGAGACTTAATTGTCAACCAACCACAGCATATGCGCCTTACTTAGAGCCTGATTCAAACAAACTATTAAAAATCAGATAACGGTAGGCAAGGTGGCTCATGCCTGTAATCCCAGCACTTTGGGAGGCCAAGGCGGGCGGATCACTTAAGGTCAGGAATTCGAGACCAGCCTGGTCAACTTGGTGAAACCCCACCTCTACAAAAATACAAAAATTTAGCTAGGTGTGGCGACGAGCGCCAGTAGTCCCAGCTACTCAGGAGGTTGAGACAGGATAATCTCTTGAACCCAGGAGGCAGAGGTTGCAGTGAGCCGAGATTACAGCACTGCACTCCAGCCTGGGCAACACAGGGAGACTCCATCTCAAAAATTAAATTAAATTAAATTAAATTAAATTAAAAATAAAATAAAATACAAAAAGAATAAAAATAAAGCTGAGGGGTGAAGTGAAAGCTCAGGATGACAACAAGGAAGATACCAACACAATAGCTGAGAGGTTTGCACTTGCATCGCAGTATGGGATAAATGGAGGCTAGATATTGAGAAGGCAAATAAAGAAACCGGACAAATATTAACAAAGAGAAATAAAAAGGTATACATGAGCAGCAGTATAATCAGAGTATGAATAATAATTGTACTGTTTAAAACAATTTTTTAAACAAACATAATTTAGCAGTTTAATTTAGCAAGGAAAAAATGATTTGTGAAATCGGACAACCCCTTCCCACCCTCCCCCAAGTCACAGCAGATTTAGAGGGTCTCCAGCGCTGCTGTATAGTGGGCATAGTGGGAGAGAATTTATGCATACAAAAAGGAAAGTGATGTGCAGGGAGCAGAAGCAAGGTATAGAAACAGCTAGTGCCTTAGAACACAATCTGAACAGCTGGTGGCTATAAGTCTTTGAGGTCCAGCTCCTGGGACTGGCTGAGAGTCAGCAACTGTTATTGAAGCATACCCCTAAGTTAGGTTTTCAGTTTGCTTACCTACTAAATTAGGTTGTGGGTTGTAGGTAAAAACTCAAGTATGTGAGTATGGAGGCTTTCTTAGGCCAGATTTTAGTTTGATGAAACAGTATAATAATAATCTAAATACTGAATAGTGATCTAACAAAATTTATAATTTGAAAGGATGGAAAGTGCATGAATATTTGTTCAAATGGTAGTGAAAGAAAGCTAGCCTCTGTTTTTTTTTTTTTTTTTTTGGAGACAGAGTCTCATTCTGTCTCCCAGGTTTGCGATCTTGGCTCACTGCAATCTCCGCTTCCCAGGTTCAAGTGATTCTCCTGCCTCAGCCTCCCAAGTAGCTGGGATTACAGGCACCTGCCACCAGGCCCAGGTAATTTTTGTATTTTTAGTAGAGACAGGGTTTCACCATGTTGGTCAGGCTGGTCTCGAACTTCTGACCTCAGGTGATCCACCTGCCTTGACCTCCCAAAGTGCTGGGATTACAGGTGTGAGGCACCGTGCCTGGCCTGAAAGCTAGTCTTTATCACTATCGATAGTGCCTAAAAACAAAACAAAAGAATCAATAACATTATAATCAAGTTATTTAGCAATTTGGCAGGAGAAAAAAAGGCAAAAAGAATTGAAATTTGTTGTCTCTGGGCAAAGGGAAGGGGCAGAAAGGCATAAGGGGTTACTCTTTTACACAATTAACACCGTAGAACTTCTGAAGTTTTAAAACCAAGTATACCTAAAACTTTGATTTTAAAAATTAAAAAATAAATTATAAATTATATTACATTCGTGAACAACAGGGTGACGCATCATTCTGTGTATCTTCTGCTATACAGCCCCCTGCAATGCTTTGATAAACATTTCTTTCTTTTTTTTTTTTTTTTTTTTTGAGACGGAGCTCGCTGTGTTGCCCAGGCTGGAGTGCAGTGGCGCAATCTCAGCTCACTGCAAGCTCTGCCTCCCGGGTTCACGCCATTCTCCCGCCTCAGCCTCCCGAGTAGCTGGGACTACAGGCGCCCGCCACCACGCCAGGCTAGTTTTTTGTATTTTTAGTAGAGATGGGGTTTCACCATGTTAGCCAGGATGGGCTCGACCTCCTGACCTCGTGATCCACCCGCCTTGGCCTCCCAAAGTGCTGGGATTACAGGCTTGAGCCACCACGCCCAGCCTGATAAATATTTCTACTCTGAAGCTTTTACTGACTCATTGTACACATAGCAGCATCATCACAGAGGGATTACAGTTAATACTCAGATTCTGTATTTGGGAATTTGACTACTCACTAATTTTTTTTTTTTTTTTTTTTTTTGAGATGGAGTCTTGCTCTGTCACCCAGGCTGGAGTGCAATAGTATGATCTCAGCTCACTGCAACCTCCACCTCCCAGGTTCAAGTGATTCTCCTGCCTCAGCCTCCCAAGTAGCTGGGATTACAGGCATGTGCCACCATGTCCCGGTATTTTTTGTATTTTTAGTAGAGACGAGGTTTTACCATGTTGGCCAGGCTGATCTCAAACGCCTCACCTCAGGTGATCCATCTGCCTCAGCCTCCCACAGTGCTGGCAATACAGGCATGAGCCAGCCACCACGCCCAGCCTACTCACTAAAAT